TGATTTGGATCAGAAGATCCACCCCTGTGCATTCTTCTCCCGTAGACTTTCTTCCGCTGAGCAGAATTACGATGTGGGAGACCGAGAGCTGTTGGCCATCAAACTGGCGCTGGAGGAATGGAGACATTGGCTGGAGGGAGCTGAGCATCCGGTTCTAGTATGGACTGACCACAAGAACCTGGCTTACATCCAGTCAACCAAGCGAGCCAATCCTCGTCAATCCAGGTGGTCTATCTTCTTCTCACGGTTTAATCTCATCATCTCCTACAGACCCGGATCCAAAAATGTCAAACCCGATTCTCTCTCTCGTCTTTACTCCGTCGATCATCCCGAGACGCCTGAACCAGTCCTCCCGGCTACCTGCACTGTGGGAGTGGTAAACTGGGAAATCACTGACCTTATCAACTCCGCCCTGGCTACTGAACCCGACCCAGGTAACGGTCCCACTAACCGAACCTATGTGCCATCTTCCGTCAGGTCCCGTGTCATCCAATGGATGCACGCTGCCAAGTTTTCTGCTCATCCGGGAGTCAGTAGAACCATTGCTTTGATCTCAAGACGCTTCTGGTGGCCCACCCTCCATAGAGATGTCAAGGAGTATGTGTTGGCTTGCTCCACTTGTGCCCGTAATAAAGCCTCACATCAACCTCCTTCTGGCCTGCTTCAGCCGCTTCCGGTTCCCTCGCGCCCTTGGTCCCATATTGCCATTGACTTTGTCACCGGCCTCCCCGTTTCTCGAGGTATGTCCACCATTTTCACCATTGTTGACCGTTTTTCAAAGGCCTGCCATCTCATTCCCCTTAGGAAACTCCCCACGGCCTTTCAGACAGCCCAGCTCCTCGTCAAACACGTCTTTCGCTTACACGGCATTCCCCAAGAGATCCTCTCGGACCGGGGTCCTCAGTTCATATCCCAGGTTTGGAAAGCATTCTGTTCTGCTCTCGGCTGTAAACCCTCTCTGACCTCAGGTTACCATCCACAATCAAACGGACAAACAGAGAGGATGGACCAGCAGCTGGAATCAACCCTTCGTTGCCTCACCTCTAACAATCCCGTGGACTGGAGTCAATTTCTCACTTGGATCGAATACGCACACGACTCCCTCAAATCTGCTTCCACTGGTCAATCCCCCTTTCAGGTTAGTCTCGGTTATCAACCTCCACTTTTCCCCGCAGACGAGAGAGAGATTTCGGTCCAGTCAGTAAACCAACACATCCGACGCTGTCAGAAGATCTGGAGAGAAACCATCACCACCCTCAACCGATCTTCAGATACCAACAAATGCTTCGCTGATTCCAGGAGACGTCCCGCCCCCGAGTACAAAGAAGGCCAAGAGGTATGGCTGTCCACTCGAGACATTCCCCTTAAGGGGATGTCTCGAAAACTCTCGCCCAGATTCATAGGTCCCTACAAGATCTCCCGAGTCATCAGTCCATCAGCCGTCCGTCTCCAACTGCCTCAGTCTCTCCGGATTCACCCAACCTTCCACGTGTCCCAAGTCAAACCTGTCGTTTCGAGTTCTCTGTGCCCGCCTTCCGACTCCCCACCACCCGCCCTGGAGGTCGATGGTCATCCAGCCTTCACCGTTTGACGCATCGTGGACTCCCGTCGACGAGGTCGCGGCTGGCAGTACCTCGTCGACTGGGAGGGCTACGGACCGGAGGATCGCCAGTGGGTTCCGGGCTCGTACATCCTCGATCCTGCCCTTATCGAGGAGTACGAGCGATCCTGCCCTTCGACCTCTTCCGGACCGCCAAGGGGCGGTCGTTGAGGGGGGGGTACTGTTGGGAGCTGGAGAAGTTCCACCTTTCTCCAGCAGAGTCCGCCGTGGATCCTTCTGAGTGAGCCTCCTGCACAGCTGCAGCCCATCAAGATCATCAGAGGATCCACTATATAAGCTGTCTTCAGACCTTGCCTCAACGCTGCAGTGTTGATCCAGTTGGTCAGCGCCTAAGCCTAGATTCTCTGTGTAACTTTGTGACTTTGAATCCAGCCTGGATTCTAACCGTTGCCTTTGTCTTCCAGGAAACCAGTGTCTCCTCTGTGAAGCTCAGGAAGAGCTAACCTGCCGAGCCGACCCTCAGAGCCAAACCCGAAGAACCATTGAGAACTTCCATGCAGCTCAGAACTAAGAGCTGGAAAACCCAAAGCCAAGGTCTGTTCATTATTAGACGTGAGACGCTGAAGCAGCAAGCGGACTCTGCTGATCAACTCCTCTCCAGATCCAACAGTGACTCTCCCTAAGCTAACCTCAAGAACCCTCAAGGTACAATCAGTAATCATCCTGAAATCAAGCTCCAGCTTGCAACGCTAACTGAACTGTCTCTCACGCAGACTCCGGTGAACCAGTGTCCAGGCCCGAGCAAGAACCAGTACATTCTGTGTGCCTGTATCTAAATAAACTTGTTGAACTTTTATTCCTGTGTCCGTCAGTGGTGTTCTGCATATTTGGGTCACTCTTTGAGAACCCATCATGACATCTTGATTCTTGATTTCTTAATGATTATCGACAATGTCCAGTTTTATAATACAAACTTGTTTTAACTACACACGACATAGCACTACTAAATGTAAAAGAACATTTTAAAGCACCGAGAGACCTCAGTGGAGGTAGATATTGGTGGAGAAGGTCAGATGAACGCCAACCAGCATGGCGTTCATTAGGACATGCCCCTAATTAAAATAGCTGCTTGTTTTACGTTGGATGTAACAAAATCACCCATCCAGAAAGTTACCCTTTTTCCTCGTGGTTCTATGAACCATCGAATGTAATTTTTACCCTGTCTCTTCTGTATTATTGAATCATTAAAAGAAAACATTGATGGAGGCCAGTGAGGCCTGGTGGGCAATCGATCTTAACTTTGTTTTTTTTAACGATCTCCAGAAGGAGTCATTGAACCGATTTTGGGATACTTTCTGTTCATTGGCTGCTCCCAGAGATTAATCACTGTTTGACACATCCCTGTGGTCTGCTCGACTTCAAAGAGTTTTAAAAATGGCTTCTTCAACCTTGTTCGGATGAATAGATTCCATTAATTCTATTTTTCATCTGTTCTTGAATTTGTTGTACCAGGGCATATTTTGTTGTTTTTTGACAGCTCCCACAGTAATCAATCCTTCATGTGGCTTGTGATGTTGGCAAAAGATGCTACGATTTATTCACAGTGAACTCATGATTTTGCAGAGATGTCTGATTACGTTTTTGTTGTTGTTGAAAACCACCGTTTATAGTTTTCCAGGTTCCCTTGTCTGACAGTTTGGTGAATACAGGTGCTGGTCATAAAATTAGAATATCATGAAAAAGTAGATTGATTTCAGTAATTCCATTTAAAAAGTGAAACTTGTATATTATATTCATACATTACATACAAACTCATATATTTCAGATGTTTATTTTGTTTAATTTTGATGATTACAAATGACAACAAATGAAAATCTCAAATTCATCATTTCAGAAAATTAGAATATTACTGAAGACCAATAAAAACAAAGGATTTATAGAAATGTTGGCCAACTGAAAAGTATGAACATGAAAAGTATGAGCATGTACAGCACTCAGTATTTAGTTGGGCCTCCTTTGGCCTGTATTACTGCAGCAATGCGGCGTGGCATGGAGTCGATCAGTCTGTGGCACTGCTCAGGTGTTATGATAGCCCAGGTTGCCCTAATAGTGGCTTTTAGCTCTTCTGAATTGTTGGGTCTGGTGTATTGCATCTTCTTCTTCACAATACCCCATAGATTTTCTATGGGGTTAAGGTCAGGAGAGTTTGCTGGCCAATTAAGAACAGGGATACCATGGTCCTTCAACCAGGTACTGGTAGCTTTGGCACTGTGTGCAGGTGCCAAGTCCTGTTGGAAAATGAAATCTGCATCTCCAAAAAGTTGGTCAGCTGCAGGAAGCATGAAGTGCTCTAAAACTTCCTGGTATGTGGCTGCGTTGACCCTGGACCTCAGAAAACACAATGGACCAACACCAGCAGATGACATGGCACCCCAAACCATCACTGACTGTGGAAACTTTACACTGGACTTCAAGCAACGTGGATGAAGTGCCTCTCTTCTTTTCCTCCAGACTCTGGGACTTTGATTTCCAAAGGAAATGCAAAATTTACTTTCATCAGAGAACATGACTTTGGACCACTCACCAGCAGTCCAGTCCTGTTTCTCTTTAGCCCAGGCAAGACGCTTCTGACGCTGTCTGTGGTTCAAGAGTGGCTTGACACAAGGAATGCGACAGCAGAAACCCATGTCTTTCATACGTCTGTGTGTGGTGGTTCTTGAAGCACTCACTCCAGCTGCAGTCCACTCTTTGTGAATCTCCCCCACATTTTTGAATGGGTTTTGTTTCACAATCCTCTCCAGGGTGCGGTTATCTCTCTTGCTTGTACACTTTTTTCGACCACATCTTTTCCTTCCCTTCGCCTCTCTATTAATGTGCTTGGACACTGAGCTCTGTGAACAGCCAGCCTCTTTAGCGATGACCTTTTGTGTCTTGCCCTCCTTGTGCAAGGTGTCGATGGTCGTCTTTTGGACAACTGTCAAGTCAGCAGTCTTCCCCATGATTGTGTAGCCTATAGAACTAGACTGAAAGACCATTTAAAGGCTTTTGCAGGTGGTTTGAGTTAATTAGCTGATTAGAGTGTGGCACCAGGGGCCATCAATTTTGAACCTTTTCACAATATTCTAATTTTCTGATATGATGAATTTGAGATTTTCATTTGTTGTCATTTGTAATCATCAAAATTAAACAAAATAAACATCTGAAATATATGAGTTTGTATGTAATGTATGAATATAATATACAAGTTTCACTTTTTAAATGGAATTACTGAAATCAATCTACTTTTTCATGATATTCTAATTTTATGACCAGCACCTGTAATCTAAAACATTTAAATGAGTTAAAAGCAGAAGGAAAATATCATTTGTGCCAGTGCTTTTTACCTGTGTTTCTGTCTTCTGTGTCTCTTTGAGTTGAACTCTTCTTCTGAACTTATTAGCCCACCTGTCTTCCATTTCCAACATGGGCTTTATGTCGCTTTCTTGGATTGATAGATTCTCTTCCAGATGGCTAACTTTCTCTTTCCTTAAAACAATCATGTAACAGTAATGTTAGCCATTTGTCTGTAATTTGCCTTTATTTTACATGTCACCATACGTCTTTGTGTCGCCTGCATCTGTTATAACAATACTGCTTTACAATTAAGACTGATCTGTCTAAAACCTCATTTCAGATTTTAAGGCAGCTTCTCACATTTCTTTCACGTCCTGTTTGATGTCCTTCAGCTTTTGAACTCTTGCTTCGATATGCTGATGCAGAATCAGAATCCGTTGTCTTTGCACTTTGTACAGATCAACAACCTCAAGGGGGTCTGATAAGTAGATCTTCTGCAAATTGGAAAGGGGGAAAAGCACAAAATTTTGGCTCTGAGCACTGAACAAAATGAGAAATTATGCTTTTAGATTAGATTAAGGCTCTGAATAAAGTCCAACCTCACTGCTGCAGTAGCTGATATGAAATAAATCAGTGGACCTAAGAATGCAACAGAGATCAAATGAATGAAGAACAAACCAGTAGAAATGACAGAACTGACAATCAAGTTTAACCTTAACTATGAAACTTAACATTCAGAATAGTTCCCACTTGGTCAGTTTTCAGCCTCAAGGTAAACCTCACTTAGTTTTCAAAATGATAAAAACTCCAACCATAATGTCTTTAAATTTGAAACTTATTTTAATGCAGTATCACAGAAAGTGCTAGAGTGAACAAAATATATTCTAATGCAATGTGACAGATGAACCACTGCTAATCTCCAAAAGGCTTTTGCTCACTGCTTGTAAGCTGAACAGAAAAAGGCTGTTGCACAATTGCCTCCATCTAAGCCAAGTAACTTGATTTTTGTTGGTGTATTGTTCTGCTTATGAAACACAGAATTATTTTTTCTGTTAAAAAAATTGTAGACTGGCTTGGATCACCTGCCATGCAAGTTGCAATCACTTTGATGCTAAACTTCACACATATTGCAACATAAATTCCAGATCCTCAATTTAAACTTTATTCATTGCAATTATAAATATAATTGTGATGATTTAAGTTTTCTTGAAAAAGTTTGAAATGTTCTATGTTCTTAAAGGAATAATGAATCAAATAGGAGCACTTTGCAGTCAGTGTCTTTAAATAAATTTGATGTAAAGTCATCAGAAAGGGCTTTAGGCTCTAATGGTTTTTCTGAGCTAGTATAAAAATAGGAAATGACTCATCTTCCTGCAAAGAAATCAGAATTTGATTCACAACAATGACAAATAGGAGATAATGTTCATCAACTCGTCTTGATTTAGTTAAAAACATTTAGAAGTGTCAATGTACAGGCTTCTGAACCCAAGCGCAGGTGCAGACAGTTAGAGGGAAGATGGCGAATGTAACGACCGAGATGCAGCTTCCACCAAATTCGGTGAGATCCTTATTTATCTACCCGTTTGCCAGAAGAATATCCCTGTTGTAGGATATGAACATTTCATGTCATGGTTATTGTGACTGTGACGAATCCACCTCGTCGCTTAAAACAACCTCTCTAACTTTGCGCACCCCACACACATTCCTGTTATACTGTGTTTGTGAGGACCAATACACTCGCGCTGAGACCAGTAGCTCCATGAACATAAAACACACAAGCTGTTCCTGGTTACCTGCTGGCATATTGAGGGTGCACACCTAATATTTCAGTGGGGTTAGCCGTGTGTGTGTGTGTGTGTGTGTGTGTGTGTGTGTGTGTGTGTGTGTGTGTGTGTGTGTGTGTGGGTGTGTGTGTGTGTGTGTGTGTGTGTGGGGGGGGGGGGGGGTGTACGTGTTTATGCTATGGGGACTTGTCATCTTCAGTCTGGCTGCGTCTTTGCTGGGTTCAAACCCCGTTTGGTGTAATTGAATAAGTCAATGAATCTGTGTAAAAGAATTAAGTTGTAAAAATTATTTGTTTTGTTTTACATCAATTGTTTGTGGAGGTAATATATGGACAAAACTGATTAATGAGAAGAAATCAGAAATAAGAGAGCCTGATGTGAGGGGCTTAAACTATTTAATGAGGGCTGTGGGAAGAAAAGCGGCAATTTTTGTTTTCTGTTTCTTTGTTACATTGCTGGTAACTGGAGGGAGGCTGAGGCCCAGAGTATCTTGTATGTTTAGTTTCTTTTGCACCCTGTTTTGAGTTTTTGAGCTCAATAAATCACCAACACCGGTAACCCGACTGAGACTGGATTCTTGGAGGCCAAAGAACCCCGTCACAGTGACCCAAATCATCACTGTTACTGTTATTATATAGTAAATTAAATCATTACTGTTAAATTGTATGTATTGTCCAATTGTTTATTTGAATTCTTATTCCGGATTAGTTGGAGACATACACTAGGCTATATCAGCCCCACCAAAAATATTTTTCACCAGCCGCCACTGCATTGAAGATTCCTAGATACTTTAGAGAGAAACTCTTACAAAACATAAAAAAGTTCCCAAAAGAGCATAAATTCTTTATTAGTCCTCCTATATTGTTGTACATGATTAATTAATAAATGAGTTTTTGGTTAGTGCGCTAACTTTAAACTATCAAAGAAGGACATTATTTTTTGGGGGGGGGGGATACATAAAATATTTGTAAGATTTCAAGGGATTAGATTAATTCTTAATTTAAAAAAGACCAATGATGACTTACATTTGCTGTCTGCACCTTCTTCAGGTGTGGTTGGTGCTAGCTTGAACAACTGATCGGCATAACTCATATGTCTTCTCAGTTCATCCTCACTCTCTTTGAATTCACTTCAAAGAAGAGACAGCGGCATTAGAGTCACATAGGAAAGCATGCACCTGCAGAATAAGCAGTGCATAATAAAATCTAAAATAGAAAAATTGTTTACTTGTTATTCATTGCACTTGCTTCTCTTAGCAACTTATCTAAAGCATCACTGCTCTCTTGTTTGGACTTGGCAGCATTTCCAATTCTGTTGATGAAAAACAGCAATCAGATTCACAGCTAATCTTAAAACATGATGTTAAGTTTGTCATCAGATATCAAAACAAATTTTTTGATATCTGCCTTCAAATACCTTATTTCTTGGAACTGAGCTGGCCTCTCTTTTATAAGCCAAATGTCATAGATAACTTGCTGAGCAGACACTTTAGTTTCCAGCAGAGTGATGTCATCCACAAGGTTGGTCGTTTTATTCTCTAACATTGCTACTACCGCCTGGAGACATAGGAATGACAGCTTAGATGCAACTGCATGTAAATACTGACAAGGCGGAAAAGGCAAAGATGTGCAGAATTGACAGATTTGGAAACAAACACTTTCAAACCAATTTTACAGTAATTTTCACTCCTTAAGTTTTTTCCACCTTTTATATAATAAATGCATTCAGAAAACATAAGACAATTAAAACAGCTTAGTACAAGATTATAATCGATCAGACCAATGTAAAAAGATCAAGGTTTCGGACATATGCTTTGATGCATGTAAAAATATCGTGATTCTAAAATAATTTCATCAAGTTGCTGCTGCATGAAGGTTTTCTGAATAACTGCATAAAATAGCTTCTATAAGCCTAGATTTTTCCCTGAGTAAATCTGAAGTTATATAATTATATAGCTAAACAAAGTATATATTCCTTTATGCATGATTCAATGGCATGGGTATAAAGGTTTCAGTGTCAATTAAAATCTCTTTTTGTAACTGCAGTTCTTTTTATGAAATACAATAAAGGCAATAATTTTTTTTAATTTTTTTTTACTTAAGCCTCTTTGAAAGTTACAGTCAGTTGAGGTTGCATTTTTGCATCATACTTTCACCGGAATACAAACTTATACATTTTTCACATGCAATTCCAGCATTGTTTGTCCAATATTGGATTTATTTTCTGGTCTTTACATACAAGAGTGTTAAAATTATCTTTATCTTTTCTTTTCTTTCTCTGCAATAGTTCATTTGGACCTTCTGGGCACCTTTTAAAAAGAGGAGAGAGGTGAATTAGTGCCTTTGCTTAAAGAACAGCTTAATTTGCAGTTTAACTCTGTCTCCACTCATTGTGTGGCAATGTATTTTGGGAGAATACATTGGAACTGAGACCTGTCATGTTACTCTTCCCTCTCAGATAGTTCTCCATTTCTGGATCTCCTAGAAAGTGTGATGTTGTAGAAATGTTTCTTCGATACTTCCTATATAAAGTCGGCATACAGAGATCTGTTACTTCAAGAGAAACCTTCAAGAACATTTACATAATTGTCTAGCAATCATTTAATGTCCCTAAAAACACTAAAAGTCTGGTCTAAAGGGAATCAACATAAGTGATGATAAAAGGCTTATGCAAAAAATATGAAAAAAAGAACAGAAAGCGAATGTGCCATTGAGTGGGTGAGTTATGCGTGATCTACACAGATCCCTATTTGAACAGGGACATGATATGTGCTCCTGGCGGCTATGAGGTGAGGGGATGGCATAAAATACAGAGGAAGAAGTTTTTTATATATTAAAAAAACAATATTGCTAAGAATAAGATTGAAATAACATACATTTAAATGAAATATCAAATATAACTCCTAAAAAGTGATTGACATTGATCTGCAGTTACTGTCAGATTTTCAGAGAAATTAGGCTCTACACAGGTGTAGTTAACTCCTCCGACTCCGTTACAACCCCAAAAGACCTAAAATAAAGCCAACTAAGGCAGGAGCATAATAATTTAACACAACATAACCATGGTTTGTTTGTTTTTCAAAGTAAGTAGGAAGTATTACCTACCTCCTTATATCGTGTCTTTACAGAAAGAAATAGGCTGATCTGCAAAGGTAGTGTGAGTTTTGGAAGGTAAACAAGTATCACTATGGTAACTGCAGTTGAAATTCAAATTTTTCTACATGCATTTTATTTTTTGAAAACAATCACATACATTTGAAATATTTCCATGGTCACTGAGAGTCGAGCGAGCGGAGAAACAGCCGAGCGCACAGCTGGTGTTGAGCGCGGAGAGAGAGGTCGAGCGCGAGCAGAGACGGATTCGAGCACGCGCAGAGACGAAACTGAGCGCAAGAACACTGAGCTAGTGTTCAGGCTAGTAGTAAAGTATAACAAAATACAGCACTGTGGTTAGACTATAAAGTAAAACAGCATCAAGGAACAATATCCAAAAATGTTTGTCTGTTTAAGCTAAAGGTTCAATTAGGCTGAAGGTCCTCTCCAGTTCATTACTAGCTTCATGCGTGGAGTGGGAAATATTGTCCAACAATTAATATATTGGCTTAATTAAAGAATTAGAAATTACTAACAATGTAGAGCTATTTGTTTTTTTTTTTTAATGAGCTCAGCATAAACTATATATTAAATAACTATATATTAAAAACGTAGCAGTCTGCACATACAGTATTACTGGGCTGCGAATCTTAATAAAACTTTTCATTCCAAGGTTATTGTTGATAAATGAAAAAGAGCCAACATGGATGTTCTATGTAAGACACAGATACAGTTTTTTTTCCCCCCAACTTTCTTTATTGAATTTTACAACTTGACACACAACAAACATTAGTACAATAAAAACACAGTAGTTTTCAAAGAAGTTCAAGCTGATTTCTCCCAGAACCCAGCCCACCTCAAACGCACCCCGTCCAGGTCCAAGCACAGGACAAACAGCCTGCTGGGATCCAGTCCCTATAGCAGTTTCTAACAACACAACATACACACACATCCATCCACACATATTCGAAAGGAGGCAGGAAAAGAAATAAAAAAATAATAATAATAATAATAATACTAATACTAAGTAAATAAATGAATACATACTTAAGCGTACATATTATTAAGTTAAACAAGTATACAAATAAATTACAAATGAAATTTTTTTTATAAATAAATCAATTATAAGACGAAGAGTATATATCGGTTAAAAAGAAAAGAAATGGGTTGGATATCAATGAGAAGGCCTGAAGATTATTTAATTTTCTTCTGAATCAGGTAGCAAGGTCATGTTACCCACAATAGATAGGAAAGGTCTCCAAGTCTCCATATATTTACTGGAGGAACCCTTAAGTGAAAATCTGAGTTTTTCCAGCTTCAGGTTGTAAAGAACTTCTCTGACCCAATAGTCATGAGACGGGGGGACGTTTAGTTTCCATCTAAGTAAGATAAGTCTTCGAGCCAAAAGGGTAGTGAAGGCTAGGGCTCGTTTCGAAGAACGCGAAAGGCCCGGGTCTGGAGGGATGCCAAATATAGCCGATAACGGATTGGGGAGAATTGTCTGATTATATGCATGGCTTAGTGTTTTAAAAATGTTACCCCAATATCCGGTTAGCTTTGGGCACGCCCAAAACATGTGGGTATGATTAGCTGGCGTCTGTCTGCACCTATTGCAAATGTCGCTGACTGATGGGTAAATCTTTGCTAATTTTGCGTTTGTGTAATGCGCTTTATAGAATATTTTGCACTGTATTAAAACATGCCGGGGACAGATCGAGGACTTATGAATTAAATTCTTGGCAGCCTCCCACTGCTCCTCCTCCATCCCAGCACCCAACTCCCCCTCCCATGCTGTTTTAACAAAGGCTGCAGGTCTTGAGGTGTTATTATTATTGATAGAATTATATACAAATGAAATAAATTTTTTCCGTTGTGGGTCTAGTTGTAGAAGAGTATCTAAAAGTGTTTCAGGGGGTCGATTAGGAAAATGTGGAAACACCTTTTTAACATAATCCCTGGCCTGAAAGAACCGAAAGAGATGAGAATTAGGCAGTTGGAATTTTGATGAAAGTTCAGCAAAGGATGAAAAGATATTATTGTTATAAAGATCCTTTACAGCCTTGATCCCTCCGTCGTGCCACGAGTTAAAAACTGAATCAGTGACTGAAGGCATGAAGTTACAATTTTTAGCTAAAGGGGTTTGTATCGAAGGTCCATGTAGGCCAAACTGTTTCCTGAATTGGATCCAAATCATTAATGTGGATTTAACAATGGGATTGTTCTCTATCAGGGAGAGGGGAAGGGGGAGCTGAGAGCAAAGCAGAGAGGATAACGAATAACGGCTAGATGCCCTTTCAATCTGCACCCAGGCAGGTGAAGCCTCAGCATCACACCCCCAATATAATAGTTTCTGTATATTAGCTGCCCAGTAATATTCCCTGAAGTTGGGAAGAGCAAGTCCACCCTCACAAGTTGGGGACTGTAGCACTGATTTACGAAGTCTGGCAAGTCTTTAAAGCCATAAGAATTGGGATATTTTCTTATCCAACTTTTCCAAAAAGGACTTTGTAATTAGTATAGGAACATGTTGAAAAAGGTAGAAACATTTAGGTAAAATTATCATTTTAACCAGGTTCACCCGTCCCATCAAAGATAATGGTAATAAGGACCACCTGTCAAAATCTTTCTCCATGTTCTCTAATAACGGCGAAAAATTCTTGTTCATCAAGTTGGACATAGAAGAACAAATAAATATCCCTAAGTAATGAAACCCTGCTTCAGCCCATTTAAAGGATGAAATTGAGCGAGGAAGGTTTCTTGCTAAAGAGTTCAAGGGAAATAATTGGCTTTTCTGATAGTTGATCTTGTAACCAGAAAACTTGCTATACTGTTCTAGAATGTTAAGGAGCACTGGAAGAGAGGTATGAGGATCAGAAATGTATAAGAGTAAGTCATCCGCATAAAGGGACACCTTATGGGTTACACCAGATCTCAGAATACCCTTAAAGCCCTCTTCTGCACGCAACCAAATTGCCAGAGGCTCTATCGCGATAGCAAATAACAAGGGAGACAGAGGGCATCCTTGCCTCGTGCCCCTTCCAAGAGGAAAGGATGAAGACACCGTGTCATTTGTTTTAATTGAGGCCACTGGTGATGAGTACAACAGCTTAACCCAAAGGATAAAATTGTTATCAAAACCAAATCTTTCCATTACTTTATATAAAAATCCCCATTCGACCCGATCAAAAGCCTTCTCGGCATCGAGAGATACAATTATTTCAGGTGATAAGGTGCCTGGCGTATGAATAATATTTAGAAGCCGTCTGGTGTTATGGAATGATTGTTGTCCTGTCATAAAGCCTGTCTGATCTAATGAAATAATGCTGGGAAGTACCCGCTGGAGGCGGGTTGCAAGAATTTTAGATA